CTGCCTTCTTCCTCAATAATCAAAGGGAAATGCCAATTGTAGTGGCATGGGCAGGAGCTCTAAATGTAGCAGTCAACATACTTTTCCATTATCAATTCTTTTATAAGGTAGTTTAATTAGTTACTCAATTTGTTTAATTAGTAATTAATTAGCTCATTTGCTTCATCAATTTGTTAACAAGCAACATTCATTCTTTTGTAAAATTCGTTCAACGGATAATCACAAATAATTGGGGTGGCTAGGTAAATTCATACAATCTTTTGATAGCAATAGGCCCCAATTAGTTCCTATGGGAGGTTAGTGCTATTTTGTAAATTATAAGGGAGGTGAGGGCTACTGAAAGAAACCTCAGGGGAGAGGTTTCTGCAATTATCCAAAAAAAAAAAAAGTTTCTAGCTCTCCATCCTCTCATTCACTTAAAAAAATACGCCCTGATTTAGATGGAGGAGAGGACTAGGACTGAGCCTGGCAACTAATATAGATCCCATTTGACAAATGAATTTTTTTTTTATGTTTATCTAAAATTTTACTGTAACTTACTGTAGAAGCTGAAAAAAAATTTATAAAGTGTGTAAATTTTTAAATATTTTGAAATGTATAATTTAAAATTTTTGAGAAATTTTTTGAAATTATTATAACTATAATTGTTAAAAAATTTGTAGTAGATAAACTTGACCAAAAACTTATTTACCAAATATGCCCATAAAACTTGTTCAAACTTGGCATAAAATTACCGTGCATTGCGATTTCAAGATGGTTTTTTTTATTAGTATTATTAATGACTGAGGGACTACCTTTGTTGTGACCGTAAAGCCCAAAACGTCCAATCTGAACATTACCAACTACTGGGCCGCTCCTCAAGATTCTGTTGATGGACAATAATTCGAGATGCCTTCTGTAGGCCCCCAACCAACCGCTACACGTAGCCATCCATATCAATATGCACTTATTTATTACTACTGCTCCATTAACATCCTTCTCATTCCGCAGAACCCCCCCCCCCCCCCCCCAAACAAAATTTTTTAAAATGTATTGTACCTTTGCTATCCCATCTCTGTAGAGCAAAGTATGCAATCATTCATTCTGTGTTTGCATACTCAAATTTTTACGAATATCATTTTATTTTTATCATAAAAATGCATTTCAACAATTTTTAAATCGCAGATACATCATATTACCCAAAAAAAAAAAGAAAAGAAAGTACTAGCAATTATTTTTAATAATAATTCAAATAATATTCCATCCAAACACACTGAGTACCATCTCTTTGTTGTATCTTTTTTTTTTTTTTTTTTTTTTTTTTGTCGTTGGGTATCGGTCACTCCGGACTGGTAATACCGTTTGTGCCACTATTCCCATCGCCCGGGGAGAGCGGGCCCCACCGATCCCCGAGAGTATCACCCCGGACACTCAGCCTTGGGGTCGAACCCCAGACCTATCTCACCTAATGAGGCTACACAAGCCAGCTGAGCTGCCCGTGGGGGGCCTCTTTGTTGTATCTCTTGAACAACAATTACCACTCTTAGACTGTAGAGCAATTTTTTACAGTCATGTGGAATAGAAGACTGAACCCAGCTGGGTAGGCTACCCGTACAAAATGTGGGGATAAATGCACGAGTATGGGGGCGGTTGGCGGTCATCAAAATTTTTGTGAGGTCCCAAATTTGCCTTACCCGTCTCTAGTTATCTATCTTTTAGTTATCTATCTTTTATGTGCTGCAACCTTCTTTTTTTTTTTTTTAGCTATTGGGCCGGTTCAAGAAATAATTTGGAGGAAATGAGATTGACATCGATCGCTGGATTCAGAATTGTGATGCACTAATTTTTGTCCCTCACAAAGCATACAAAACAGTGGGGGATAATATTTGTCCCACACAATTCAATTTATGCAAATTTGGCTGCTCTTTATGGGACTGCATCTGCAGAGGTGTCAGTAAGGAGTGAACAAAAAGGATAGGGACCAATGACGATAGGGCCAGTTGAATTATCCTTATATATATATGTATCCTTATATATATATATATATAAAAGGGGATAACCAATGAGGATGCATCCATATGAATTTTTGGGTTGGAAATGAAAATGGTGAAAGAATTTTACCAAACAGCAGGCAGCAAGTAATCAGGATCATTAACTTTTCCAATTTCCACGCTAAAAAGAGTAAAGGGAAGAGGGGAAAGGGAGACCGCCACCAAACAGGCAATAATAGCCTTATAGTAACATTTTATAATAATACAAGGGTACATAGATTGAACCACCGGCGTTGCTCCAGTCGTGAGTCGTGTGAAAAGAGGGCTCGTAAAGCTCTCTTCACCGTTAAATTCAGGGTTTGAGCTCCATTTTGGAGAATTTTTAAAGAAAAATTACTATAACAATTTTTAGGATGTGATGTTTAAATTGCGTTTTTTTTTTGAAAAGTTTCTAAAGAAAAATTACTGCAGCACTTTTTTAGAATATGATATACGTGATGTGAAAATGTGATTAAAAATTTACGTGTAGGAAAAAATTTACGAGGAAAAAAAAAAAGGATGAAATTTGCCTATGCAAAGACACAATTCAAGCTGCCCTTTGCTTCCCAACTTGTGCTGTTACCAAATCTAGTAGGCAAAGGTGCTTATCCGGTAATATTGCTACGACAATATAGGAGTGAATTCACAACTACTCTCTCCATCTCATTTTGATAGGTTCAATTTTTTTTTTTCATATAATTTAATAATAGTTAGTTAATTTTGTTAGGATAATAAATCTAACTCACTATCTTTCTAAAATATCCATACATTAAATGGAGTATGACTAATTAGCTTTATATTAAATAAATTAGGTTATACGTAATGACAAGCTGCATTAAACCGAGGACTACTTTTATGAAGGATCAGGGCCGAGATGAGCGTGTTTGGATAGTGATTATTTGGCTAAAAATTATTTGCTTGAAGCACAAATATAATTTTTATCTTATTTTTTTATCTTACATACATTATATCATAAAAAGTGTTACAGTAATTATTTCAAATAATATTTATTTCACAGGATATAACTCACTTTTAACAACTTGTAAATATAGAATAAAATTTTATGAGTCTCACACGTGACCTTAAAATAGACGTGCAATTTGGGCCTTAGATTTTATTTTGGTCAAATCGTGGCCAAAGGTCAACCTTTAATGTCCGGCGCCTCATCCCCTGTGAGAATAATTTCAGGTGTTCAAATTATCTCACAGATTTTCAAGAATATCTATCAAAATCCAAGTAGCAAAATTTTAGGCCTGCTTTCCACGTGTCACAGTGTTGTATGTTAATCGTGATTGTCCACCATCGAGGACAAAAAAGAATTGATGATGATTGTCCACAGGGAGCCCCAAAAAGTGAGGCGGATGCTGGTGCTTTAGCAGATTGAGAGATTGGCTCTGGTCTCCATCATCCCAGTTTCAACACCGGAAAAGCGCATGAGAAAACCCCTAGTCAAGCCTTTTTGCGCTGCTGCCTACAACTTGCGTGTGTAACAATTGCAGGAATCAGAACACACAACACCAAAAAGGGGAGCGTGTGTGTCAAACTAACCATTTGGATAAAAAGCCATCTTCCTCACTCACTGGGCCCCACCCGCCCCTTGAGTAATAATGCACCCACTGTAGCGTACGCATATATTATTACCGTACTCAATAATGCTGTCTCGGTGTCAACAGCCAACAGCTAACCGGACTGAAGAACCTCTTCCCTTCATCAAAACCCAGAAAAAAACTACTACTAGTAGTGTAGTGTAATCCCATCTGCAAAATTTCCAATCCCATCAATCACAATACGAGCACTAGTAGTAGTAGTAGTGTATCTGCATTTTTCTTGATCCTGTCCTGGGGAGGATCATAGACCCTTGCGAAGAAACCAAGCTGGTCTAGTCACCCACATTACTTACTACTTACATCTGAAGCAAGTAGGGACCTCAGCGAACGAACTTACTTGGGATGGTGTAGTATATCTGCATTTTGCCGCATATTACACACTGCAGCAACCTCTCAAAATTTCCAACTTTCTCATGAACCAAGAAGATCTATCAGAATCTTTGACACCACTTTCTTCTTCCATGTTAGTAGTAAGTAATAATTAACTCCCCAAAATTCCACATTCGAGTTCCTAATAGTACAATCAATCAGTGATGATGATGATGATGATGATGATGATGATGATGATGAGATACAGAGAGAAAATTCATCAAGTTCCACAAATGTGTATTATTTGTAAAATTACCAAATCCAAACGCTGAGCTCCCCAATTATTTATGGCATTAAACAACTACTGCCATGGTATAAAGAATAATATTTATGGCATTAATCATTAGTCATTACCCGTAAAATATACTCCTACTGTATGATTCCACACCCAAACTGTTGTGTATGCCAAGGGGACAAAAAAAAAAACACAAATTTAAAAAAATATTTTTGTGTTTGGATTGCATTTTTCATGATTTTTTATGAAAAAATTACGGTAGCGATTTGATGTATGTGAGGAAAAAAGATAATAGGAAAATGTGATCATGGAAAACGATGTAATTTTTCGACGAAAAATCGCAATCCAAACAAGGCATTAGTATTTATAACTTTTCCTTTATTTGCGAGTTCCTTCAGAACAGGAGGAAGAAGGAAAGAGGGGCCGAAATTGGGCAGATTTATTACTTACATTACTGCTGTAACTTCGAAAGTTTTCATCCATTTATGACCGGATTTGGCTGAAAAGCTGGAGAAAGCTTTGTACAGTTTTCATCCATTTACTACTGTTCTTGAATGGCTTCAAACTAAAATTTTCATGACATCTTAAATTGATCATCCCATTTCTATCTTAAACTCCCAAAATATTAAAATCTCCTCTCTTCTTTTTTTACCCTTTCTTTTCTCTTCTTTCCTAATCTATCCTCAACCCCCCAAACTAGCCATACATAATATTACTTTTTTTTTCTTTTGGCCACCAAATAAAATAATCCATCATATGTAATACTGACTCGCAAAGGGATAGGAGAAGCACAGAAATGTCACATTTCATTGGCCCATCAAAAGTACATATGTCTTCTCACAATGCTTAGCTACTAAGCAAAGACTTCAATAATGTACAAGAAGGAAGGAAGGACTGAAAATAGGTATGCAAGCACCCACCTAAGCAGAGTCCATGAAGAAGTTGTCCACCTAAGTAGCAAGCACTAATAATAATAATAATATATTGATTACTTGAGAAGCAGTAGCAGCTAAAACTTGAAATTTCCTGCGGAGAAAAACAGAAAAGAGAATTCAGCCACATTTCCATTTGCAACCGGGAAAATGATTCTTGGCCAGCCCAAGAATACACCACTTTAGCTCAGATTCTTGTGTAGTAGTAGTAGTATTTGACAAGAGAATAAACAAATGGCTCGTGAAGAAAGGAGAAGCATCTTTTTACTAAAGTCCGAAAATTTTTATATACTCGAGAAGGAATTTTGCCTACCACATTTCCTTTTCCTCGAAATAATAATAATAGAAAAAAAAGTAGAATTTTCTTCCTCCTCCTTTTTCTTTTCTTTATACATTCGGACTCCAAAGACTCCATAAACGCGAATTCAGCAGTCCCAACACATCCGGCAACACTTTTCTAGCTAGTCCTTTGTGGTTACTCGCCGGCGCCGCTCCTCTCACAATTAAAGCCGTCTCCGGCGCAGTCTCCGTCACCACATCCTCCTCCTCCTCTTTTACCACTATCAAGGCCGCCGCTGCCGCTTCACCAGTATCTCCACTCTCAGGCACCAGTACCCCAGCTGATGACTCCGGCGAGAAAGCCTCATCTTGCGGCACAGAAGAGCTACTCTCTTGAATCTCCGGCGATCCATTTCCTGTTTCGGGCAGCGGAAAATCCACTAATTTCTGAGTCCCACGCCGGCCCATTTTGTCTCTTCTCTTGTTCTTCCCCTTCTTGGACTGCTCGCCGTTATTCAAGTGCTCCTCGAAGGCTTCAATGGCTTGGTGGATAAGCTCCCGGTTAGGTGAAGAATCCCACCTAAACCAGTAGCTAGTGTAACAATCAAAGCACTCGCAGTCAAACAAAGGAGTACTTTTGTGGAGGTGGGCACCGGTATTTGCTGATTTTTTGGAGTTTTTCTTGGATTTTTCATCGAGAAGAGCTGATGGGTTGGTAGTCTTGATGGACCTAGTGATCATGTAAGCCAATACTTCGCGGTCCTCGAGAGAAAGGACTGCTGCTATAGCAAGAATAGCAGCAGGCAAGAGTTTTAGAACAGATAAAGCATCTTTGTTGTTGTGGTGGGAAGAATGAGACGAAGAGGAGGAAGAAGATGATGGGGAAGGATGGACTTTACCCTTGTTCCGCATTTTCACATTTCTCTCTTTTTTGGCCAAAAAAGATCTAAAGGGTATCAGGGAAACGATATGGTCATAGATGGTAAAAGGGCTATGTAGAGAGAGAAAGGCTTTTTGGGTTGGGGGATTGAGGGGTTTTGTGGTGGGAAGGGGGAGAGGGGTTGGGATAGGGGAGGGGTTCGGGGATGCTGGAGGAAGGTAGGGTTTGATTTTCTTGATGGCCACGGTAGACCAGAGAGAGAAACGAGAAGGATGGGGGGTCCTGGGCGATCGAGGGGCTACAATTTCTTATATAGTGTTAGGTTTGGACCGGGGCTTGGTTGGTAAAAAAATGTTACACTTTTCGGTGCTAAAAGCGTACTGTTGAAGCGTTTGATGAGTATCATTCAATGAAACTAGGAGTGGATTTTTTTTTTTTTGTTGTTGAAAGCAGCCAAAGTTTGGATCCCTGTTTTTTTTGAGTGTTTTTCAAAAATTAATTTTTTAAATAGAATAAAAATTTTTAAAAAGTACTTTAAAAGGTAATCTAAAAATCAGTTTAAATTTTTTTAACATTTTAAAAAATATCTCAAAATATATTCTAGAAACTCTTCTACTCTTAAATATTTCAAAGTATTTTCTAAAAATATTCTAAAAACTCTGTTACAGCAAAGTATCCCAAACGGATGTTTTTAGAATAATTTTTGTGTTTTAAAAATAAAATATTAAATTTAATTATTTTATCCTATATTATGAAGTAAATAAAGATATAAGTATATTTAAAAATTTTAAATTACATACTATTCAATAAAATAAGTATATATTAAAATATGTAATTCAAATAATATACTTAAGAGTATTTGAACACTTAATAAGTGCTTTTATTAAAAATTTTATTAGGTAAAACACTTATTTTTTATTAAGTTATCACAACTCCAAATAGTCCCAAGTTCCGATCCTGCGTTGCATTCATGATAGTAATAGGCTAGTGTAGCACTCTTTAGTTTTCGTTAGCTTTTGTCTCTTTTAATTTCTTTGCTAACTATTTTTTAGGTTATTTGAGGTCAAGAAGTTAAAGTTGGCGTGCATTAAAAAGCCGGACAAGTGAGGAAGGAATGTCCACGGAAATATAAAGAAACTTGCAAATTGAAGAAACAAAGAGGTTTCATTTGTTCTGAACTAAAATGTGTTCTGAACTTATGTTATAATAAGTTTTGAAGTGTATTGTGGAAGTGTATTATGCTCACATGATTGTTTTTGGGTATTTTTTAAGAAAACTATATGGGTGGGATAACGTGTCAGAAGTTAAGTTTACTTCTAAGTTAATAATCTTGTTTGGAAAGCCATTTTTTCATCAAAATTTTTTTATATTTTTCATAAACACATTTTTTAATCACCTTTTTACCTCACATATACCAAATCGCTATAATATATTTTCTACAAAAACTCCAAAAAAATTACAATCCAAACAAGACAAAAAATATGAATTTAGAATCTCTTATTTATAACTCTTCCTAATTTACTATCCAATCCAATCAAACCCTTCCCAACTAAGTTGAATTAGACAAAGATTGCAAATTTGATGGCATATAATGACTGTTGGAGCGATAGCTCTTTTAAATAAAAAAAATAACAAACAAAAAAAGCAAAACCAACGCAAATAAAAAGTTAGGTCGGGTGGGGGATTTGGGCCAGCGGCTTGCCAGGAATTTTTATTTTTTATTTTTTGTCAGTAACGATGCATTCCAACTAAATCAAGGGAGTGCTTTAACACAATTCTTAAATTTTTTTTTGCTGCAGGTACCTACAGCCCAATGAGGGACTTAAGCCCCTCCCTGGTGGCGACTGAGCCATTGGCCCAGTGGTTTGCCAGGAATTGGTGGGCAACATTTAGCAGGGACAGAAAAAAGCATTGATTACCACCACCACCGATGAGTGGGATAAAGTCATAAAAACAAGGATTAATTACATTTACCTCTCAAATATTTTGTTCATATTACCAAACAAACCCTATAGTTTGGCCAAATAATGAATATCCCATGACACTCTTTTCACCAGTAAATAATAAACACACACATCCAGAATCTAAGGTAATTCCACAGGTTTACCCAAAAGGCAATTGCTAATACCCCATGACACTCACCTCCGTTATTTTAGTCTAATAGAAATTGGGAAAAGTCAAAATTGCCCACCGGAGAATTGGAGGCTAAAAAAGCATATTAATTCCAAAAAACATATTCATGTAGCGAAAAAGATTTTTTTTTTTATAGAGTTTTATTCAAAGTTGAACTTTAAATGATTCGGATATTTATTCAAAGTTGAACTTTAAAACATGTATATGTACCGAAAATCCCAATGCCTGCTCTATTATGTGAGAGAAGAGTCGATTACTATCGAGGCCTAAGTCTGCTACTAATTTTTGCTGAGCACTCCAGCTCTAAATGTAATTGCTATTTCTTTCATGTCAATAATGTTTTTTATTTGTAGATGATCATGAGCTAGTAAGAAGGGGAGAAATTAGATAAAGACTTTAGACTGCCAATTTTTCTCAATTTTTCCTCCAGGGGAAGTATATGTAATTAACCCTAAAAGCAAATCCAACTGACTATTTGGTTTTGGCGCTGCGTTTAGCATCACTGATTACTGTGCTCTCAGCCGAATAAATGGGCGGTCCATTGCAATTACAGTTGTATCATATTTACGCACACTCAAATTGTCGTGGTGGTAAATTGAGAAATCACCACACATATCTTCTGCCCTTTTTGTACAGCCACTGGCATTTAGGCACTCGTAGCCCGTCTGCAATAGGAAGTTAATCCTAGGTAGCTATTTTTGAAAAAAAAAATTCCATTTGAAGCTATTTTTCTGGGTACAATTTATCAAGCGTATCGTATGTGCCCAACCAAAGCCTAAAATACTTGTTGCAATATGCACATTGCAACCCTTCGATCAAAAACTTGAATACCATCGGGGCTGAGGATGGACTAGGGGTGCAAATGAGCCGAATCGAGTCGAACTTTGGTCTAATCGAATTGCGCCTCCAATTAATTGTGTGAAGCTCGAATTCGAGCTCGAGCTCGACGAGCTCAAAATGTGTCGAGCTCGAGCTCGAACTCTGAGTTTAAAAAATAAAAAATAATAATAAATTTATTTTTTAAAAAATAAAAAATAATTATTTATTTTTAAAAATGAATAAAATAATTATTTTTTAATAAATAATAAAATATTAGGGATATATGTGTAATTTTACTATTAAAATAAAAAATAAAAAAAATAAAATTGATTTCGTGAGCCGCTCGCAAGCCAACGACCTTAATGTTTTTGAGCTCGAGCTCGAGTTCGATATTGACCGAGCTCGAGTACGAGCTGACCTTAATGTTTTTGAGCTCGAGCTCGATATTGACCGAGCTCGTACTCGAGCGATCGCGAGCGGCTCGATTCATTAACACCCTAGGATGGATGTTGTCTTTTTTCTTTTTTTCTAAAAAAAAGAAAAAAGGAAAAAGAAAAATTGAGTCGAGATCAATTTAATAATATGGTTGGTTTTGGAAGATATTATCCTGGGAAACTCGTGAAGTGCTAAAAGTGGTTTTAAGTATAAATTATAATCCGTGACTCCAAAAATATCAAGACCTACATGCACGTACTCTGCCTGCATCATAGTCCAAAAGAAAGGGATCATAATTGCCATCCGTTATCACAATTCACAGAACACCAGAGAAGAGACCAAGCGCGTATGTGTGCCGCCTGCTTGATATACAGAAGTACAACACGTTTTGATGGGATGGGAGACAAGTTTCATGGCATTACCTATTTACCTTGCATCTTGAGATCACTAATATCAGCGAAGCCAACAGATTAAAATCCAATAGTACCAAAAACGTTGACAAAAGAAACACAACCGATTCAAGTGGGAATTTGGAATACACAGGAGTTCTTTAGTTTCAGAAGTGAGAAAAGAAAAGAGGAAGTCAGTCATTGGCGGAGGGTGGGAAGTGGAAGGAACAAACGAGTCCCAATAACAGGAAGGAAGAAACTCATTAAGTAGGAGTATTATACCACTACTACTCTTATTCAGTCTGCCTTTTTGCCGTCCGCCTGCTGCGATCTGTTCATTGCAGCTGAACGCTTGTCTTCTTCAATCTTCGAATGTATTTCATCCCTCTCCTTGAAATACCTCTCGAATGCCCTCGGAAGAAAACGAGGGATAAGAAAACAAAAGAGATTGACGAAGAAATACACAAAATTTGCAGCCGCCAGGCCCCTTCCGAACCAAAACCATGCGATGTCCTGAAACAAGCAATCAACGCAACGCAACGCAACTTGTCAGGATCACAACAAAATACTACTATTTAACTTGCACCATAAACACAATTTTCAATTACATTCATAAAAAAAAGGTGTTACGGTATTGTTTTGAAATAATCTTTTTCCCCAAATAGTCTCCGACGCAATTAAACACACCTATGCATGAGTTGAGTTTATGATCAATGCACTGCTCGACTTGCTTACCACTAATTTAATAATTAATCAAAAGCCACAAAATTGCTTTGCGCAATTAATTACCCGGAATTCAGCATTTGCAGGCAAAGTTTTGTTCAGCCAGACGTCATGTATCCAATCAATGATGACGAAAATTCTCCTCACAGTGTAAAGCAAGGGGACTAGTGCTCTAACCGGAGGCGAGAACAACGAAAGCCCGCTTATAATGTTCTCGGTGAGTATCTGAAATGAGAGCAAGAAGAGGTGAGGGGTGGCTGACCGGACGGCATGCTCATCCCCTCTTGCAAATCCTCCCAGAACATAAGCTAAGGGCAAAAACAGGCCTACAGTAGTCCCGACAACTACATAAATTCGGAAAAGTCGACTTCCGCGGAATATCTCCTCCGACCCAGTTGTTCTACCATGGGATGGAAATGCCAACCGGGAGAGTGTAATTAGATAAGCAGTGGTGAATGCGGGATACACAATGTCAAGGATGGGGACTAGGCCACTGGCAGAGAACACCATAATAAATGCGACTAGTTGGAGCTCTATGACACGGAGGGATCCCATTACTCCTCCAGCCGCTGCCACCTGCTGCTGTTGCTGTGGAAGTGGCTTCGGCGCCTGCTGTAGGCGATGTTTTGTTCCGGAGCCGGAGGTCATGGTTGTTGTCGTTTGATCGTGCTCGGTACGGGGAGCCCCTGCAATTGATAGGCCTGACATTTTCAATTAGTATTCTGCAGACGGACCAAAATGTTTTTTTTTTTTGGAAGGTGTGCTGTGGTGGTAGATTTCTTCGCGCAATTAACCCCTGCCAAAGAAACAAGAAATTTAAAAAAGATTAAAAAAAAAAAAAGGCTTTTTCTAAGCGTATCAAAACGACTACCATTTCTGGATACCAACAATATTATGCTAGGCCTGGAAAAACGGGGAACAATCAACAATAATAAATGTTGCAGCAGCAGAGAACCATATAAGGTCATGTCTTGTCTGGCAACATATACACCAAAAGAGTCGAGGGTCAAACATATATACAGGTAGTGAGGAGGGCTCTTCTTGTTGGTGTTGGCTCGGAGCTCTTCGATCTGCGGAGCTGTAGAAACATACATTTTGAAATGAAGCCGGGGAAGAAAAAAGGCCCCGCTTTTGTGAGTGTACGTACTGCCAAGGTTTTAGCTTAGAAATATGGAGCAGTATAGTATAGAGATCTCTGTCATTAAGCATCAATTAAAGATACTACTTAGTATTTATTAGACACACAAGTACACAATGGCGTGCTATCTTTATCCAAAATACTTCCTCTTGGTACATCATACATGGCTCTCTCTCTCTCTCTCTCTCTCTATATATATATTTATATTGGACCCATGGCTCTCTCTCTCTCTCTCTCTATATATATATATATATATATATATATTGGAATGGTTGTGCTATGCAGGCAAATTTGGGCTCAGCTTTAAAGAGGAAAGGGGTAAAACGCACTGCAGAGCCCAACCAACCTGTATGTATAGCCCATCAATTCGTGTATTACCCGAGGCGTTAAATGTAGGAGCAAAATTTTACCACCAAACACATCATCAAATGTATGTCGCTGTTACGTTACGGGAGAGAGATTGGTCGGATGGTTTCAGGGAGAGAGATTACATTTTTTAAAAAAAAATGTGTATCATCAAAATGGTCCATAACAAAATCAGCAGCATGTATGATTACTACTACTACTACTACAAAAAAAAAGAAAAAAAAAAGAAGAGAAAGAAAGAAAGAAGGAAGAATTAGAAGAAGCCAATGACGTGTTTCATAAACTCAGATCATATATATATATATATATATATATATATATATATATAAACGAGAACTACTAAATTCATGCAAACTATGAGATACAGGAACATCAAATATCAAGACAGATGCACAACAACATATTAGTATTCCATATAATTGATAAAAACAGGTAATTCTCAAAAGGGGATAGAGATTCCAGACCAACTTACTCACCGCGCAAGTTAACAGCACGACGGATGGATGAGGGATCAGAGGAATAAGTGTTAATAAAACTGCAGCTACTGGGATCAGAGGAGAAATTGAGAAGCAATTTAGGATCATATGATTGGTGAGTAGGAGGAGTTGTTTTGATGTCCAGTCCATATGTTGTCTGCGGAGCACTGAAACGTGTAAGCTGTTAGCGGAATACATGTTCTACGATCCACGTGGGTCCGTTATTGAACAACGCGTGGCAGCCTCAACCGTTTCGTTTGCTCCCTTAATACTCTGTTGTGCCGCTAACAATTGGACCCCACGCACGAATGAAACAAACAAAACTCAGAGGGGGGATTGTAAAAACAAAATCCAGCCTCCCTTGTTGTGTGGCCGTAGCATTGTGAATCAAAAAAGGACTCGTTTCAGCAACTTAGGTGTATTTGGATGGCATTTTTCTAGTTTTTTTTTTATAAAAAAAAAAAATTATTGTAACGATTTGATATATGTGAGATAAAAAGGTAATTGAAAAATGTGTTCAGAAAAAACGTAACAATTTTTTTTTGAAATCTACAACCCAAATACACCGAAGTAGTGTTCAGTGCGTGCCATTAATAGAAAAATATTATTAAAATTTTAAGTAATTTTGTAGTATCATTTTTCAGAAGAATTGGTTTTCATATTTTTGACAATAGATATTAAAAAATTCACCGAAATAGATAGCTATTTAGAAATAATTCATGACCATTATTGACATTTGATCGTATTAGATGGTTAGCAAGAGAAGCTTAGAAAAAATATAAAGTGACACAAATTTATTTACACCAAAACTTTCCTCTTCCTTTATTTATTTATATATAGTATGTATAGATATCGAAAAATTTTATAGTAATACAAACTTCACAAGATTGTGAGAACGAACTCCTTTATTTCCTCCATAGGTAGAATATTTTTGCTATGTATCATCAGTTTGAGCGATTAGGGTTAAAACAAACAAAATAAAAAAAAAAAACCAATTGATCAAATCCATCAGACGGAATAATCATCTGTCTATTCATTTTCCTGTCTAATATAAAACTATATAGTTCGACTTACTTATACTGCTGAACAGGTAACAAACGTAAAAGAATGAAGGACAGAATGACAAAGAAATTTATTGCCGCCTGTTACTCAAACCGGAACACAGCCCTCAAACGTTCGTAATCATCCAGGGAGACGAGGAGCATCGGTTTTTCTCATCTTCCTGATTTAGTTACTGCTGCTGTTATAGTATATGCCTAAGCACTCGATCGTACTAATTACCCGTCAAAAGGCTCAATTCTTAGCCATAAAATAGATCTCCTTAGTTCCACAAGAATTGCAAGAAACTTGGTAACGTATACTTTGTTAGGCATACCGTAATAATACAGGCATAATTAGTCACCGAGGTTAACGACCAATTCGGAATTTGGATAGCCGTATTTAATCAATCAATTAGTACCATTAGTATTTTGTACTCCCAAGTTTCCATGTATCCATTGCTCAAAAGGCTGGCTTAACTCAAAGCTGAAGGATCAGGATCATCATCATCATCCACGAAATGAATCTCTTCTATGTTTGGTAGTATCAAGGATTAACCGCTTCTTCATAATTTACCAACAACAGCAGAGCATTTAATTATAATCAATGAGCTGAAATAATGAAAAATCAGCATTCTCCGTTTAGCAGTAGCAGCATTATCATCAATTTCTTCCTTGCTCCCCCCTGGCCTTCCCCCCACCCACGCCCCCGGGGCGAAATACCACAGAAAAAGAAAAAAAAAAAAAGTGATAATTTGGGGAAGAACCAAAATGGCATTTCGTACTACTTCCTCCTCAAGTTACCTGGTGGCACAATTCCACAGCATCCCGACTCAAGAATCAAATCCCATTCTTATGTCCATCAGAACCGTAGATCCAAATCCATGGTAAGCTGTTTACAGAAGTACAACCCCCAAAGCCAAAACTAATTCTAGAAAGAAGGCAAAGACAAAACATGCCATGTCATCACAAAATACTAACAAAATAACAATCTCCAATCCCACGCAGCACAAACTTGTGCAGCAGCTATACATGGCTCGACACTAGGCGTGTCAGTAGACAGCGGTAGTGCTTTCCCGGCAACTCAGTTGCCTTGCACCCTGCAACTGAGAAATGGGGAAGGTACTAAACTATTCAAGAAACGTTTCACAAATTAGTGCCAAAAGAAACGTTCACAAATTAGTGATCTTGACCTTTCTACTTCCCTTACAAGAAACGTTCACAAATTAGTGCCAAAAGAAAAAAAATGGCGGAAAAAAAAAAATTTCCAAGCTTCCTCTTTTAATTCATTCCCACTATTTCTTTTTGCATTCTAACACATAGCAAGCACTCCATTACTGCTAGTCTAAAGTTTTCTGCCTCTTCAGTTTCCCCTGTTTACTTGGAAATTGGAATCCAACCCCCGCCCCCTTCTTCTTCTTCTTCTTCGAAAAAAAAAAGCCTCGTAGATTACCACTATCATAGAGGTACTGACATTTATAGTGTTACATTTTGGCTTTGTGGATTTATATCAGATATATAAGCTCTTGATATTTTGAACTTGTTTTCTCGGCACAGAGAAAGAACGAGAAGGATCAGAATCCAGAAGAGAACAATTCTTTAGAGACTTCAGAGGTCAAAAGCAAAGAGGAGAATATGAGCCCAAAAGGAAATATTGTCCTGCAAGTGTATATTCATTGTCCAGGTTGTGAGGAAACTGTGGTCAAGAGCTTGAGGGGCTACGACGGTAAATTGAAAAAAAAAGATCCACATTACTTTTGTGAATCTGTATCGATACATGGTTTTTTTCTTCTTTTTCTGTTAGTAATGTGGGTGAAAATGTGTAGGTGTCGAAGGAATTGAGGTGGATTCAAAGAATCATATAGTTATTGTCAAGGGAGAAAAGGCTGATCCCACGAAGGTGGCAAAGAGGCTCAGGAAAAAAAGCGGCAAATATGTTAAGTTGATCTCACCCATTCCGCCAAAGGACAAGAAAGAAGAAAAGAAAGAAGAGAAAAGAGAGGTTTACGTTGTTAGTGCTAATCTTACTAAATATGTCCAAATTTTGTGTTCATCAGTTAGATGTTAATCTTTGTTCAATCACATGTTTTACTTTAATCGAATTTGATTGGTTGTTAATGGGATGTTTGTGCAGCCTAAGGGGGTTGAAGTGGTGCTTAAAGTGCACCTGCATTGCGAAGGCTGTGCCAAGGATGTTAAGCATTGCATCCATAAGATGCCTGGTATGTTGAACTTTCGTATATTGATAATTGGATTCTTTTACCCTTTTCCTTTTTGCCTGTCCAGTTTGCATTAATTTTTCAGTTGAAATGTTAAAACTGGAACTGAGAGAGAGTGTCGTTGATTTATGGTTTGCAGGAGTACGAACTGTTGAGCCTAATATGGAGAAGAATATGGTGACTGTAAAGGGAGGAATTGAACCACAAAAGCTTGTGGAGTTTGTGAAGAAAAGAGCAGGGAAGCATGCTGAGATTGAGATTGTTAAACCAGAAAAGCAAAAACAAAGTGAGGACAAGAAGAATGGGAAAGAATGCGAGACTGAGAAGCATTGCAACAAGAGTGGTGGGAAAGAATGGTACGCCAATTTCTGCCCTGAACTTGTCTATGCCCCTCAATTGTTCAGCGACGAAAATCCCAATGCCTGCTCTATTATGTGAGCGGAGATGAGAATTGAGAAGAGTCGGTTACTCTCGAGGCCTAAGTCTGCTACTAATTTTTGCTGAGCACTCCGACTCCAAATGTAATTACTATTTCTTTCATGTCAAAAATGTTTTTTATTTGTAGATGATCATGAGCTAGTAAGAAGGGGAGAAATTAGATAAAGACTTTAGACTGCCAATTTTTCTCATTTCTCACTTTTTCCTCTAAAAGGACAAGAATACACATTCGTATGTGAGCGCGCGCGTACGTGTTTTTGTGCACTATAAGACAGCTGCTTATGATAAAAAATACTAGTAGATCTTTCCGGTTTGGATTGCTATTTTTAAGAGTTTTTGTAATATGGATTGATGTATGTGATATACAAAGATGATTGATAAATGTGTTTACGAAAAACGTAAAAATTTTCCGCATTCCAAACAAGTTATATACCCAATAATTTCATCCCTTAATTAAGTCCAAAATAAAAGGAAAGAAGAGTAAATTATTAAAAACGGTCCAATCAAAAAGCAAGTGGATACATTTTTCAGCCTAATTTCTTCTTGTCTTGGCACTTGTCTAAAAAAGAATATGTGATCCACCAACATTAATGGGATGGGGAATGGGTAAATGGTAAGCTATTAAAAATAAG